AAAATAATAGCCAATAAATAAAAACATTGTCTTCATTTTAGGGGTCCACTCCAAGAGTTTTTTTTTATTGGTGTATATTTTGCTGTATATATTCTTTTTTTTTCTTTTTATTGTGATTTGGGTGAAAATTTACAGAACAAATACACTTTCCATACAGCAGTTCACATACACTTTGTCTCGTGACATTGACCACAATTTACCACAATGCAACATCTCCCTTCCTACTTTCTCCCGATAGTTACCTCTTCCCAGTGTCCATCCCTCCATGCACTCCTGCTCCCTGAGCTGTCTCCCTGTGTATAAGCAGCCCTTCTTTCTCCCATGCTTGTTCTCTCCAAGGACACTCCAAGAAATTTTTAATGGAATTCTAATTTAACCAGATTGAATAAAAGTAGTTTACACAAAGCACATAGTATATAGTTCATGGCATAAAATAGAACTCAATAAATTTTAGGTTAATCAGATCATCAAAGTAGTGTGACTGTGGACTATCTACTGGAATAATGGAATTAACCTTGTTATATAAAATACTACATATATGAAATGTTCAGGGTGAAGTTGATAAAGACATTGTGTGTTTTAGACTCTTATAGGTTGTTGTTGTTATATACCGTCGAGTTGGCCCCAACTCATAGCGACCCCTCCTTGGGTTTCCAAGGCAGTATCACTACGGAAGTAGGATTGCCCAACCTTCCTTCCGAGGAGTGGCTGGTGGGTTTGAACCACCAGCCTTCTGGTTAACAGTCAAGTGCCTTAGGCACTATGCTACCAGAGCTCCTTTTTAGGTTGTAAGGACCCTAAAGATGTCTCCATTACTTTGAGTGATGGCACTTATAAGACTTAGGAAACTCAGAGAAAATGGGTCCATAGCCACATAAGCAGGCTTCATGGATTTTTTTCCCCCCTTTTATTTTTTAAATTATTGTGGTAAAATATTATAACAAAAAATTTGTCATTTTAACCATTTTTAAGTATACAGTTGAATGACATTAATTACATTCACCATGTTGTGTAATCATCACCACTACCTGTTTCTGAAAGTTTTTCATCTCCCCAAACTAAAATTTGTGCCCTGCTAAACCTGGGAGGATTTTTGTTTTTCTGTAAGTTTGGGATAAGGCTCAGGTACCTATATTTTTCAAAGCTCTTAGAGTGATTCTGATGTTTACCTCAGAAGAAGAGGAGAGACTGTACCTTTGTAAAATAGAATGTGGTACAAAGAAGTGTATCTAATTTTAAAACAAAAGAACTAGACTGATAATGCTTAAGCATGCAGCAAAGATAACAGCAGCAGCTGAATTGTACATCAGTTAGCTGCAGGGCTTGGAAAGGTGGCATACTGCCAACTTGTATAGAAGCATCCTGGTGGCTGCTTTAACCTGCATATCTAGATTATGTGCTTATGCCTCAGGCATCCTTCCCGCCCATGGTATTATGGGATAGTCAAGCATTGCAAGAAGAATTTGTTAGTTCTTCAGGTTGTGATTAAGAAATGCAACAGAGGCATGGTTATCAGAATTAGATTGGGAAATGTTTGGTATGTCACCAAGGGTGTGGGTGTGGGAAATATAGAATCTGCACCAAACCAAAAAAACCAAACTTACTGCCATTGAGTTGGATCCGTCTTATAGCAATCCCTCCATGGATTTCCAAGGTGGTATCACTATGGAAGTAGATTGCCCAACCTTTCTTCCAGAGAGTAGCTGGTGGATTTGAACTTTTAGCCTTCTGGTTAGCAGTCAAATGCCGTAGACACTACAATACCAGAGCTCCTTAGAATCTGTACAGCCTGTGGAAACTGAGAAGCCTACATAACACTTATAATTTGTTCCTCTGGATTAGGCTGAGCCAGTTGGGAAACATAGCTCAGGAATAACTTAAAATACGGCTTATTTTGTTTTAGGTTGCAATACAGAAATAACAATTGTTGTAGTAAAAACTACCAACATTTACTGGGCACTAAATATGTACCAGGCATTATGCTGAGAGTTTGACAAATGTTTTCTTATTGAATCTTAACCCTGTGAACTTTGGCGCCTTTTACATCTCCATCTTACAGTTGAAAAAAATGAGTTTCAAAGATAGTAAATAAGGAACTGAAGGTCACATACTTACCTACCTCTTAAGGTTTTGGAGGTTAACAAATAGTGCTCAGAACAGTGCCTGGTATGTAATAAGTGCTCGATAATACTCAACTCACTGCTGTTGAGTTGCACCCGACTCATAGTGACCTCTCCTTGGGTTTCCGAGGCAGTATCACTACAGAAGTAGATTGCCCAACCTTCCTTCTGAGGAGTGGCTGGTGGGTTTGGACCTCAAGTCTTCTGGTTAGCAGTCAAATGCCTTAAGCACTATGCCACCAGAGCTATTACTAAAGTGCAGAGGAAAGACCAGTTCTCCCGTTGTAGGGCATACCTCACAGAAAAAAAAATATGTAAATAGGATTTTTCCAGAATAGACAAGTATTCTAGCTAGAAGAAACAGTATCAAAGGGATTGGTGGACTGGTTTAATGGCTACATTGGTTCTCTAGTGGTGAAATGGTAGGAGAAGAGGCTGAGAGATGAGAGAAGTCTTCTTGGAGGGGAAAGTCCTTGAGCTATTTTCAAAGGATGGGGATAACTCATTTTAGTAGGTTGAGAGAGTTGGGAACATTTCAGGCAAAGGTGGATTGAAAAAAGGCACAACTGTAGTTATACACTGCTGTTGTAACTAAATTTAGTATCTTAAAACAATTACTATTTTATTTGTCCACAATTTTATGTGTCAGTTTTTTGGGCTGGACTTATCTAGATGGTTCTTCTCATCCCATGTGGCTGTAATCATCTGGTGGCGCCATTGGGCCTGGGTGTTTTATAATGGCCCCTCTCACATGTCTGGCTTTGGTAATGGCTGTTGGCTGAGCTTCTTCATGTGGCAGAGAAGAGTTATAAGAGAACAACAGTGAAGCTGCATGGGCTCTTGAAGCCTAGTCACAGAAGTCACATAGTGTCACTTGCACCACACTTGGCCAAAGCAAGTCAAGGCCAAACTAGATTCAAGAGGAAAAATAGATTCCACCTGTTAATGAAAGGACCTGCAGAAAATATGTGGCTTTTTAAAAAATGTACCACACACACACACAAAAAAAAGCCAATAACCCAGGATGAATTTTAGTCCCTTTGGCCTTTTCTTTAGCCTTCAAAATTAATTGTGGTCCTTTAATTGTTGCCCAAGGGGCAGGGAGTCCGCATCTCCTGACCTCCTCCAACCCCACAAGAGGAAGACAGAATCACCATCAATACCCCAAGGCCTATTCCTATGAGGCCTCCTGTGAGGCCAGACATGCTGCCTCCCTCCATACCTTTCACCAACCCTGACACCGTTCCTCCCGCAGCACTTACCACCTTTCTGCTGGGTTCCATAATTCACTGCAGTAGCCACACAGAACTCACAGATTATAGGGTTTATTAGGGAAGCACCAGACTACAATTAAAGTTCAGGAACAATGCTCAGTCTCCCTCAGCCTGCCGTCTCTCAGCCAAGAGTCTCTCACAGTCTCTCTCCCAGCAGTGTGTGTCTCTCGGTATCTTTCTCAGCAATGTGTGTCTCTCAGGAGCACGTATTTCTTTCAGCAGCATGTCCTTCTCAGCCAGCAGTCAGAGAGACTTCTTCTGCCTATAGGAGACCTCCTTTTGAGCCTGGCAGAGTGGCCAAACTAGCCAATCATAACAGAATTCTAAGCACCTGAGAGAGAGCAAACTTACCAGAACATTACTTTGTGCCACTCCCAACAGAAATACCCCAGGTAGATAACATTTATAATCAGGAGCACCTCAGTTGCTCACAGCAAATTCCACCTTGGAGTTTACAGAGACTTATGGCTAGAAAAGCCATACCAGGTAATTTACTATACTACAATTGTCTTTATTACTCTTCCCCAAATGCTTTCTTGGATTCTCATATAACGAAGACAAGAATATATTATAATGAAAAACAGGAAAGCTTTACCAAGAATTAACTAATTGAATTTTGAAAACTGAATTACAAAACAATTATGTGTGTGTGTGTGTATCTATATCTATATCTATATCTATATATCGTTTAACCTACTTTTGAAAATCCTCATGAACTTGAGCAAGGTTAATAGTGATGTGGAGAAATCCTTAGGGTCTTGGCTATAATGAATAGACCAGGATTATGTGTTATTACTTCATCAGTTGTTAGTATTTAATATTTTGGTGTTAAAATAGTGAAGCATCTTAATGTATAACCATTAAAAATCTTGACCATAGTATTAATTTCTTAGGTAAATTTTTTAATCCATACTCTGAAAAGGTAGGTGTCTACCTTTTAGAGTGATCTGAAACCTGAATCAGTAGATTCTGAATTAATGATATTCTTACCTCGTTCCTCAACAAATTTTTGGTAGTATTCAGCAGATAAAGTCTTATTTTCTCTGAGGTATATTAGTTTATAATTCTCCACAATCTGCTATTTAATTCTGCTTTCCATTCTGAAAGAGTTCTTAGCCTTTGTTCATTAATCTTGGGGAAACATTTGTGCTACATGCCTTGACATTAAGTTGAACATCTAAAATTAGTCCCGCTCCAATCAGTGGTTGGGAACAAGATTTTGTTAGTTTGTGGCATGTGTTAAGTAGATGTTGCAAGGTTGAAAGGAACTCCTTAGAAATAAGTAAGTGATTTGTGTCCTGTGTGTGTCTCACCATGTTGGTATAACTGAAGATATTTTTTATTAATCACATCAACAAATTAAATCTTTTTTGACAAATTCTTCATATGCAATACCAAATATTTTTGCTTATGCAGTCACTGTATGCTGTTATAATGAGTCATTTCAGAAGAAAAATATAATTATTGAAAACTTTGTATGATAAAAGATTTTTCTGCATGTTTTTATGTGGTTTTCATTTTTTAAAAAAAATAATCATATTACAAATACTATATTTCAGGTGAATGACTTCTTCTATTCAGAGCTCAAAGAAATCTACTTACAAAAATGGCATCCTGGTTGTACGAATGTCTTTGTGAAGCTGAACTTGCACAGTATTATCCTCATTTTACTGCCCTTGGCCTTCAGAAAATAGATGAGTTAGCCAAGGTTACAATGAAGGACTACTCCAAATTGGGAGTCCATGACATGAATGACCGCAAACGTCTCTTCCAACTTATCAAAATTATTAAGATTATGCAGGAAGAAGATAAAGCAGTCAGTAGCCCAGAGCATCATCTTCAAACAAGCAGCCTGTACATAAAGCCTCAGAAATCCAGATCTGGCCCTCGCAGGCAACTGCATTTTGATTCTCCTATTGAGAAGAAAGACAGAACTGCCAGCAACAGTGGGTTTGAAATGTGTAGTTTATCAGATTTCTCTGCAAATGAACAGAAATCCAGTGGCCTAAAAGTACTGGAGCACGTGCTACCGGATGATTCCCAGTACCATACAAAAACAAGAATTCTGAATGCCACAGCTGCTGATTCCTATGTGCAGACAGAAATGAATACGCCATTCTTTTCATCAAGTCATTTTTCTTCAATACTGGGGGATTGTGATATTCCCGTTATTCAAAAAGTCTCTCATGTTTCAGGGTATAATTATGGAATCCCTTATTCTTGTATCAGGTAATAATTTATTTTTATCTTTTTTTTTTGAGAAGGGCACCATCAGGCAAAGTCAGGCCTCTCCTTCATGAAGTAGAGCAGTGCAACTGCTGCATATTTGCAGTAAATGAATATAAGATAGAAATGACATGAATAGCTTCTGCCTCAAGAATAGAAATACTTTGATGGGGAAAAATTAATGAAGAATTGGAACCTTCCAGATGGGAGGAAGGTAATATTGTTCATGTACATCAAGCAGCTGCTACTTGCCAGGATTTGCTAAGAATAGGCAGACTTATTTATTCCTATTATTTATTGTAGTATAACATGATACCTTTGTTGATCCAAGAAGGTAAAATAGTTAACTGGTCTTCTGCAATGGGAAAAGAAACATACAGTCCACAGGATTTTTTTTAAAGCTATCAAATTCACTTACACCAACCAGGAGACTTAAAGCTTAGTAAAAAAGAAAGAGCATGTAGTTGAATTAAGTACATCTTTAGGCAGTTAGTTCTCCTGCACATACTGATCTATACTGAAATAAGATCTGCTTTTGAGTGTTTTCTACAATTTCAGCCCTCGAAGAACAGATGTTTTTGGTTTTGTAAAAATGTGAGACACTTAGGATAGAGTTTAGAATTTGAGAATCAGGGTAATAAAATAAGTTTTCACCTAGTCCTTCAAGTTAGAATTTGATATAAGGTTCTTAAGAGGTAAGATATTGAATAACTCTAATGTTAACTTAATGGTATAATAGAATATATTCTTTTAACAATATCAAGTATTGCTTATTTTGTTATTTAAAAAATAATAGATGTAAATTATGAGAAAAATAAAACATTTTCATTATTTTTTTAAAGGCTGTTAATCATTCCTTAAGACAAAATATTTTCATCTGGTCTTATATTGGCTAGGATTTGAGAGGATCTCATAAACAGGTCTTTTATTCCAAAAAATAGAAGATCCAGTTTTAAAGATAAAAGTACCTTTAGTAATTTGAAATACAGAGGTAAATTTTATAGTGTTCCTGAAAACTTTTTTTTTTAGAGGTTAGAGGGTTTTGTTTAGCAGAGCACAGAGCATACAGTACTTTTTCTTTTAATTGTGAGAGGCCTAGATTGCTCCATGAATATCAAAGTAGGATTGTCACTGTCCTATTTTTGGCTTCAATGGTGAAAAAGTGGCTGGGTTCTTGACTATCATAGACTTTTATTGAACAACATATAAAAATCTAAATTGGAATTATTTATAAATATAATAAAGATATCACTTTTCATTATTTTCTATCAAAGACAGAATGGATATTTTAGTTTAATTTAGCTATTTAATTTATTTGGCAAATATTAAGTATCACCTCTGCTACACAAGACTCTAGATGCTAGGAGTATAAAGATAATTAGGATATCTAGAGGCTGTTGAGCCACTCCTCGGAAGGAAGGTTGGGCAATCCTACTTCCGTAGTGATACTGCCTCGGAAACCCAAGGAGGGGTCGCTATGAGTCGGGGCCGACTCGACGGCACATAACAACAACAACAACAACGGAGGCTGTTAGGCTCATAGGAAGCAGGGTGAAGGGGAAGACAGACATAAACAAGTGATTACCATATAGGGATATAAAGGTTCTTACAGAGGTTTATAGGAGCTCTGGTGGCGTAGTGCCTAAGGCATGTGACTTCTAACCAGAAGGCTGGCAGTTCAAACCAGCCACTCCTCGGAAGGTTGGGCAATCTACTTCCATAGTGATACCGCCTCAGAAACCCAAGGAGGGATTGCTATGAGTCAGGTCTGACTCAATGGCAGTGAGTACAGAGGTTTATACATGACAAACTCAAAGCAAAGCTGTTCAATTATGCTTTCTCACTTTTTATATCATTATCATTTCACTCTCCACATTCTTTATTATATTAGAGAAATCAAGGAAAGAAAGCACGTTTACCCCAATCATCTTTATTGTTGTCTTCTCACCGAAACCCCAAGTAGGAGTCAGGGTTTCAGAACTATAGAAGCCCCGTCATCAACTTAAGGCTTGCTACTGGGGGATCATCCTACCAAAGAGCATTCTTTACCTCTAATCAGGTTTTTACTTTTTAGTAAATATTTTAAAAGTTCAAAATAAATTTCTGGCCTTAGAATTTTAATAAAAGTCTAAGGCATTTAGAGAACTGTTAGTCCTGATTTACTTAAGATCTTGAACTTGAAAAGTGTAAGCTTTTTGTCCAAATAAAAAGCTCTGGTGGTGTAGTGGTTAAGGTATTTGGCTGCCAACCAAAAGGTCAGTGGTTCTAACCCACTATCTGCTCCACAGAAGAAAGAAGTCTGCTTCCATAAAGATGTGCAGCCTTGGAAACCCAATGGGGGTTGTGATGAGTCGAAATTGACTCAATGGCAGTGAATTTGGTTTTGGAGTTTTGTCCATATAACTCCTCCTATATTCCCTGAACAGTTTTAAAAAGGACCAAACATTTCCTGAACCCTGGTGGCCTAATGATTAAGCTCTTGCTGCTAACTAAGAGGTCAGCGGATTGAACTCACTGGCCACTCCACGGAGAAAGATGAGGCAATCTGCTTCCGTAAAGATTTACAGCCTTGGAAACTATGGGACAGTTCTATTCTGTCTTATAGGGTTGCTATGAGTCAGAATGGACTTCTTGGTTTTTTTTTGTTGTTGTTGTTCTTTAATTTTTTTTTTTTAATTGTGATTTGGGTGAAAGTTTACAGAGCAAATTCATTTTCCATAAAACAGTTCATACACATTTTGTCTCATGACATTGACTGCAATTCCCCACAATGTAACAGTTCTCTTCCCATTTCCTTCCTGTAGTTACTGCTACCGTGTCCTTCCTTCCCATGCACTCCTATCTCCTTGTGCAAACACTGCCCTTCTGTTCTCCAATGATTGATCACTCCAAGGAGTGTATCTACCGAATGTAAATGTTTACTCCATCTGCTTGTCAATTGTTTGGCTAGAAGCCACAGGAGTGAGTTCAGTTCTAGGCCTGAAGGGTAGTTAGGGGCCATAGTCTCAGTGTTCTGACCTCCTTAAGACTAGCTCTATCAGACCAGCAAAACTGACGTGTTTTTTTTTTTTTTTCTTAAACGATTTTGTTTTGTTCTACACCGTTCTTCCACTCTATCCAGAATCTCCTATGTAGATCCCCCTCCAAGTGATTGACAGTGGTAGCCAGGCACCAACTAGTTCTTCTAGTCTCATAGTCATAGAGGTTGAGGATTGTATGGTGTACCAGTCACCTGGACATTCTTATAGCACATACAAATACACATGTAGAAACATTGTCTGCTAACCCTATACATGGTTATGGGCACACTGCCCTCTACCTAGACATACCTGATCGTTCAGCCTGTCCACCCATCTATCCATCCATAGAGCAATGCTTGCCATCACTGACAGTGCAGTACTGTACATGCAAAAGGGTTCATCTTTGTTGTCTGTACCTCCCATGTACCTCTCTGTCTTCCTGGTAGTGGCTTTTTTTGTTTTTATTTTAGGTTCAATATGAGTGGGAATCAACAGCAACAGGTTTAAACATTTTTTTTGTCTTCTTTGATTAGCTTTATATGATTTGGTTACTAATATTCACCAACAAGTAGAGATTTTCTCACTAAGCCCCTTGTTAAAATGATGCATTACATTTTTTTAATGTGAAAAATCAAAGTTGCAAAAGAGAGGATAGAACAGTGATTCCCCATTTGCTCATCATGCTGTTTTAATGATTGTCAAAATTTGCCACACTTACCTCAAAATGATGCATTTTTTAAAAGTCTGTTATGTGTTGGTCTAAAAGCAAAACATGCTATTTATTAATCCCTTGGATTGTGCTTTATGCATTATAGTAGACATTTTATTTGCTATTTTTGACCAATTTAGATACTGGCAAAAAATAATTTTCCAGTTGGTGGGCTCAGAAAATTAGGATTGATATGAAACAATTATAAAATGTAGTATCCTGGATAAAATCTATTTTAAGAGGCTTTTTAGAGATTATCAGTCAAATTCTAAAGTGTAAAGAAAGGGAATAATTTGTCTTGCTAAGGCATTTTGAATACATGCACTGAAGGCATTGATCCTGATGAAACACCTGCATTTCAGAACCCTATTTTCTCATTACCTAGCTTTACATTAGTTTCTACGGAGGTAAGCGGTCAGTTCTTAGATATATTTAAGCAGATAGATATATATCTAAACAGCATATTGTGTTACACATTGAGGATTAACTAGACTGTGTTTTACACCTGCTGCCATTGAGTCAGTTTCAACTCATAGCCACCCTATACAATGGAGTAGAACTGCCCCATAGTGTTTTCAAGGTTGTAATCTTTATGGAAGGAGCTCTGGTAGCATAGTGGCTAAAGCACTTGACTGCTAACCAGAAGGCTGGCAGTTCAAACCCACCAGCCACTCCTCGGAAGGAAGGTTGGGCAATCCTACTTCCGTAGTGATATTGCCTCGGAAACCCAAGGAGGGGTCGCTATGAGTCGGGGCCGACTCGACGGCACACAACAACAACAACAACAATCTTTATGGAAGCAGACTACCACATCTTTGTCCCATGGAGGGGCTGGTGGGTTTGAACCACCAATCTTTTGGTTAGCAGCTGAGCACTTAACCACTGTGCCACTAGGGCACCTACATTTTAGGGATGTAACAAAAGACCATTCACTTTGGAAACCATTCAGCAGACCATGTATGGAAGCCAAATACATAGTCTTAGAGCTAAAGCAACTCCTGGGTATCTTTGTTTTGTTTTTCTATTTTTTTTCAACAGGGCAAATAGTGGTTGGGGGATTGAGATGGAAGTAATAAGGAGAATTCAGCTAATAAAAGAACTTTTTCAGCATCAATACTTTAATATGTAACTTTTTAAAATACATTATTATGCGTAGACTGCAATGATGAGCTCAAGCCTAGCAAGAATTATGAGTATGGTGCAGGACCGGGCAGTGTTTGTTCCATTGTATGTAGGGTTGCTATGAGTTGGAGCCGACTTGATGGCACCTAACAACAACAACAACAACGATATACAACAAAATATAAAAATATACTGATCCTTTGCTTAAATTGCCTTATTCTTTCCTTTTTCTTTTAGTTTTAGGAGTTAATGTTTTATAGTATTAAGGGAAATAAGGACTTCACATTATAAAAAAGAGGGCAGCAGGTAGAGTCATGGTTCTGACTCATTTTCTTCTTTTATTATTACATCTTAAATAGCTTTATACTACCATTAAAAATTAAAAAATCTGTTTATAAACATAGACAGACCACCTCAGAGAAAGAGAATCCTTGGACTGAAATGGAGAAAATCAGAGTTTGTGTTCGAAAACGACCTCTGGGCGTGAGGGAGGTACGTCGTGGAGAAATTAATATTATTACTGTGGAAGACAAAGAAACGCTTCTTGTGCATGAGAAGAAAGAAGCAGTTGACCTCACACAATATATTTTGCAGGTATAATGCTTTCTTTTTGTGTTTGGAGCTAATATTATCAAGTTTGTAAGTTATTTTTTGCTTTTTGTTTGAATGGAAGCATCCAAATCCTAAAATCCAGTTTCTGATTTGGGTGTTGGCATTTATTCCTAATGTGACATTGTGTTAAATCATTGATTTCTTTAAAATATGGTGCAAAAGGGGGTACAAAGACCTAATTCCCCCACTTTTGTACAGTGGAGTTATGCACACAATTATTTAACACTCTGCAAGAATTTAATTATTCACATTTGGCAAAATAAGGGGGAAATGAAGGACTTAAAGGTATTTAAATAATGAATTGGTGGTGGGCAGGACCAGTCACAGAGCCCTGGAGTGACTATGAGATGGTCACACAGTCCATCTCAGTTCCTGCCTTTCACAGTGAAAATGTCTCAGTTTGCTGAAACATGAAAGTTATATTTCCAAGCAACAAGGCCCCAGATTAACAACTAGACAGTTTAGTCTGATTCTCAACTGTTTTGGGTTTGGCCTTAATTTGATGGGATTGAGCTCTGAGCAGGCCTCTGTGAATGGGCAGGGATATGATTTTACATCTTACATACAAAAGTTTAAGTAAACCACTAGTACTCAGACTTGTAAAAAGTGTTCACTCCCTGCCAGAATGATGATGAAGAGTCCAAGGAGAGAGGATTAGCACTGAAAAAAAGAATTTATTCCAGGTTGACAGGTATTTTATGCAAGAGACTCCACAGATGGAAAATGTAATAATTTAGGCATTTCTAAAACTGTAAAGCAATTGTGAGTAATCTAAAGTGGGATAATCTACCAGGTATTAAGATTTTGGAATCCAGAGTTTCTCTTACTCTGAATCTACATCTTTAAATGTTCATATTCATCTTCATTTTCTCTCTTGCTCCCAGGCTTGACAGATTAAAAGAAAAGCAGTGAGTAATCTGATGTGATAGCAATTAATTTTAGTCAACTGAGGTCTTATTCTAATGGAATAAATTCTTTAATACCTAAGTCAAATTATTAACTCTACCCCCCTTTTCAAACTTGCATTGTTATTCTTTTTCTTTTATTACCAAAATTAAGTTTCCAAGTAATCCACTGACTCTTTCTATGGGCACTAAATTACTGGGCTACTATTCAACCATCCCGATCACTATAATAGCCTATTGATTGCTTATCAATGTACAATCTGTTAGGTCTCAGTGGGAGGTATTTATTTTGAAGATGGTCTAACAGACCAATTAGTTGTAATGCTATCTAGTTCCATGGCTACTTAAAACCACTATCCAATCACCATCTACCCAAGACTTCTTTAATGATGCTCCTGTCACAGTAATTCCCTCAAGGAGGCATCATCTTATCTTTTGTATTTTTCCATTATCCCCAAACACAATAACCTTACTTCTTTGTCACTACCATTGGTCAATACTTATTGAATACCCGTAATTTCCGTAGCACTTTTTCTGCTGTTTGAACTTTGGACCTTTATGCTCATAGGTCAAAGTCCTTACCTGTCAATGCTATAATATAAAAGTGTTGAGAGAACTTTCCGCCCCGTTTGCCTTTTTTTCTGTCCTTAAAAAGAAAGAAGAAAAAGTAGGTTCATAGCAAACTAGGTGCTAAATAAATATTCAACCTAGCCTCTTTGGATTTTATTTTGACATTTAGGACTTAATAAATTGTATGTCTACATAAATAAATTTTCTTGTCCTTTCAAATATTCCTTTGTTATTTAGTAAATATGATCTTACACACATAGTATCCTATCCTACTTGTATTAGGTTGTTTTTTTAATTGTGGTAAATATA